CTCTCTCTCTCTCTCTCTCTCTCTCTCTCTCTCTCATGTATTTCATTTTATTACATATTGGCCAGTGACACTGTATGGGGATGCCCATGAGGGCTCCTGTCTGCCTCACTGCAACACAACCGGAGGGAAAAGTAGCAGCATGCTGCCTAGGATGCTGGGACAAGGGCAGGAAGCCCCATGGCCATCCTGTTCTGCCTTGCTGGAACTCTGTGAAGCAGTACTTTCCTGTTGCCCTGCCCCCAGCCTCTCTCTCTTAGGCAAAGTGGCATGAAACGATAATAAATTCCTTTAAGTTACAGTTTAAGTACTGAAAATAGGTTTACTTTTAAGTTACTCGTTCCTTCCTAGGCCATACTCGTTACCCTTTGATTATGATGGTGGTGATGTCTTTTTAATTGCACGTAGAATCAAAGAGTCCATGACAAGCTGGACCTAAAAATCTGGGTTCACTGTGCGGCAACAGACTGGAAATTCTGGAGCAGCTTCACTTAAATTAAAATATTGATGGTTTTATTGTATTATTTTTCATAGTTAATTCAATCAGTACAACTCCTCCTGTGTTATTTATTTTGATATTAAATTCCATTTATTTTAGACTGTCACAACATTTTCACTTTTTGATATGTTGCTGTTTTTGGCATTGAAGAAGCTGGAGGTTTTGGCAGCCGGCTAGTGGACAGCTGGGGAGACCGTTTTTGATTGTGGGATATGCACATGCGCTTTTTTCCTGCTATAACTGCTAAAAATAATACTGGCATTTAAACTGTCCTCTTCAATTTTTGTATGTTTGAGACAAACAGGGCAGTTTACACCTCTCAGGCTACCAGGCTTTGTCCAGACTCTAGAAGGTAACACTTGGTGTTTTCAACATTATCTTTATAACTACAAGGGGCAGAAACATAATTCTGGTTTTAAAGGCCTTTTCCACACAAACTTTCACCAGTTTAACGAATGGTGTGTTTTTAAACTGGGGCAAGTTTCCATGTAAACTGTCTTATTTCAGTTTCGCTCTATTTATTACTTTTTTAAACCAGATGAAACTAAACTGAAATAAGACCCTCAAACAAAAACAACACAAATTTGTACCAAATTAATTAACTGGGTTAAAAAAAGACCACTTAGTTATTCAAAGGAAAATGTGTGTGAAGACAAAACCTTAGAACCTGCACCACAATTCCACATCAAGGGTGACTCCCACAGCTATGGAACAATGGAATACACAAGACTGAGGACTGTACTCTTTAAGGAGTTCATAGAATTTTTCAAATGGGCATTAAACCAGGCACTAGTCAGGATTCGAAGCTACTTTCTTCTTCCCATAATAAATAAGGCTACGATTATGTCACAGAGGTCACAGAAGCCACAGAATTTGTGACTTACTGCAACCTCTGCGACACTGGGGGCCCCCGCAGCTGACTAGCCGCCTTGTAGTGTGAAAAACTGCTATCTAACTGAATTTACTAGTTAGGGTGTAGTGAGCATGCTCACACAAACTGAGCATGCTCAGTAACACCTGCTGAAGTCAGTTGCAGGAGCCCAGCCGCCACAGGTGACCCTCCTGCAGCTGCAGCTGTGGGACAACCTGCAACTGACTGGCTGCCGGCGAGGACCCCTGAGCTTCCCAGCCGCTGCTGCTGGCAGGGCCCCCCCCCCTGCAGTTGCTCAGCTGCTGTGAGCAGCTGGTAACTTCCTTCCGCCCCGCAACTCCCAGCTGCCTCTGGCGGTGGCAGAGGCACCCCAGATCTGCTCTGCGGCCGCTGGAAGGGACCCCCCCCCACACATCTCCCCAGTTGCCACCAGTGGTATCGGGGGGAGCCCCTGCAACTGACCGGCCACCGGCAGGGACCACTGAACTGCCCAGCCGCTGTGCCAGAGGGACCCCAGAGCTGCTCAGTGGCCGCAAGCTGGGAGGCCCCTTGCAGCTGCTCAGCCACTGCAAGCAGCCACACCCCCTAAAATCTGACTAATATGTAGTTAAAATCATTACATCTTTGCTCTTTTTAAAGAGAGCTTTTAAACAAAGCAAAAAAGTCAAACAACTTGAGAAAGCTGTATTCATGACATGAAATATTTAAGTTGGGATTTTCTGAGGACCTGCATCAATTTGAAGTGCTTTTGAAAATACCAGCCTTAAAGCTTTGACAGACTTCATGTAAATTGTGTCCATTCTTAAAACTCTCAGGTTAGCTTTGAAATCAGCACTGCAGAATTATAAAAACAAATTTCCTCCACAAATTTTTTTCCCAACTCTCCAAGTTAACCTACCTCTGATTTAGCTTGATTTTATTTCACCATCATCATCTGTGGTTCCACCATAATCCTAATATAATACAATGCTTTATGCCTTTCACTTTTTAATATCACAAGAGGAAAGAAATTATTTAGCAAGTTTTGTAAAAGCTAAGTCACGTATATTTGTGCATCTGAAGCAAATGGTTTCCAGACACAAAATGAAGTGTCAGCATATTGTGGCTAATTACTGTATTTGCACCCTCAGTTTTACTGGTAGCTTGCTACAGTCATCCTGATTATGCATTTTTCCTGGTTAGTTTGTTTGATTTTTACCAGTATCTTAAATTGCAATTTAATTTCTTGCTCTCAAATACCTCTTGTGGCACAGCATAAAAGCTCACTTCTAAGTAAGGCATTAAACAACAATTTTGTTAATTAGAAAATAAATGTAAGAAGAAAGTAGAATACAAAAATGTTTCATTGACTTTAGAGTGTAGATAAATCCCTGTATGGGAAATGTAACACTTAATTAGCATATGGAGGATGGTATTCTAATTTACAGCAAGGCCTCCTGCAGAAGATGAAACAAATGTGTAACTGTGCTAGTGCACTGAACAGATGAGAGATCTGTAACACAAATCAAGAATATATACACTGACTCAATGCCTCACATTTCTTAGAAAATGAGCAAAAAACTTACAGAGAATGTTGACCCGTTGTTTGAAACTGTAACAGAGTAAGTTCCGTCTCCTAACTGTACCGACAGCTCCCTGTTGTTCAGATCCAGCTTAGCAAGAGAAATTCTAAAGCAAGGAAAGGAAAAAGAATATTTTAACAGCATTTTCAGGTAGTCCACATTTTTAATCACATGAACTTCTTTCATAGGGTCTTCATAAAGGATTTTAAACATCATTAACCCTATTGACACAGTCAGGGAGCATGTTTGGGAAAACTACCAGATATATTTTTTTGTCCATTATGGCACATAAGGAGAAAACTTTTTAGCGGAGAAGCCTTTTGAGATATTTTCTGCTTTGCCTTGACACCCTGTGTCACTGAAGTGTACTGATAAAATTTGAGGAGAATCCCAAAATCCAGCCATCGTTGGTTGCTGGGATATTGCAAACAGTGAAAAACAGATGAGGAGAGGGAAGGAAGAGTGGCACTTGAAAAAATAAAAAGACTACTTAGAACTTCAAGAGCAGAAGTGGTTCACCATCACCTTCACATCATAATCACGCACAACAAACTTAAATTAAAGGCCAGTTAGACACAAAAGCATGCAAATCCAGCCAAACGAATAATATCCATACATTATTTTTAACAATATATATATTTTATATATTAATGACGGATCTCTGTAGATACAATAAACTGAAGATTTTTACATGCCAGGACTTGAGAACAGAGTTCTATATTCCTCCCATAATAATCTATGACCTCACAAACTTAAGATAACCCAGGGAAGTACATCTTTTGTGTTACATCAAGGTGGTCAAAGATACAGCAAGGGAATCAGAACCTGGAACTTTTCAAGTCTTGGCAGGTTTGAAAAAAAAAAGTAGAAAATAATTTTTAGCTGTTTTGTTTTAAACTATATTTATTTGTAATGTGTAGGTCTATACATATGTTATGTATCAGTTGTCACCTTTATCTTGCCTTCCCTATAGTTTGTTACATTAACTTGTTGTGTCTTAATTTAAACCGGAAATTTTTGGAGAGACTATTTCTGACTATTGTATGAGTACCGGCAAGTGCAATAAGCTTCCGATATTGTTTGGGATTTTAGGCAGAATTTTAGCACAAATAAATAAATAGTAATTCAGGTTGGTTGAGGCTCTGAATTTCATTGAATTGATGTTTTTATGTGCCAGTTGGTCTCCTGTGCTGCCTCTTATGCATAGCAAGAACACCCTGTAAAATTCCACTACACTGTCCACATTTAACTCTCTCCTTAAAATTCAACCCTGCTGTCATGCTTACAAAATGCTTGATAACTACTAGGCAGCTGAAGCACTGTATCCACTGCATATTATGCTAATTATAGAATCATAGAAATGTAAGGCTGGAAGGGCTGGAAGTCTTTGCAGCCTCCTGAGCTGAGGCAGGACCAAGTAAATCTAGACCAGGGGTAGACAACCTATGGCATGCATGCCGAAGGCGGCACACGAGCTGATTTTCAGTGTCACTCACACTGCCCGAGTCCTGGCCAACGGTCTGGGGGGCTCTGCATTTTAATTTAATTTTAAATGAAGCTTCTTAAACATTTTAAAAACCTTATTTACTTTACATACAACAATAGTTTAGTTATATATTACAGACATAGAAAGAGACCTTCTAAAAACGTTAAAATGTATTACTGGCACGCGAAACCTTAAATTACAGTGAATAAATGAAGACTCGGCACATCACTTCTGAAAGGTTGCTGGCCCCTGATCTAGACCATCCCTCACAGGTGTTTGTCTGTTCTTAAAACCCTCCATTGACAGGAATACCACAACCTCCCTTGGAAGCCTATTCCAGAGCTTAACTATAACAATAGTTAGAAACATTTTCTAATTTCTAACATAAATCTTCCTTCTTGCAGATTAAGCCCATTACTTCTTGCCCTACCTTCAGTGGACAAGAAGAACAATAGATCATCATCCTCTATAACAGCTAGGGTTGCCAGGCGTCTAGCCCAAGCACTGGCTCTGCACTTCCATTGGCCAGGAACCATGGCCAATGGGAGCTGCGGGGGCGGTAACTGTGGGTGAGAGCAGTGCGCAGAGCCTCCTGGCCTCCCATGCCCTAGGAGCCAGACCTGCTGGCCGCTTCCAGGGCACAGCGCCGAGACAGGATAGGTGCACCTATTGCATCCCAACCCCCTGACTCAACCCGCAGTACCCTGCCGCATTCCGAATCCCTCGGCCCCAGCCCCTAGCCTGGAGCCCCCTCCTACACCCCAAACCCTTCATCCCTGGCGCCACGCCGAGCCCGCACCCCCAGCTGGAGCCCTCACCTCCTCCTGCACCACAACCCCCTGCCCCAGCCCAGAGCCCCCTCCCACATCTGAACCCCTCATTCCCAGTCCCATCCCGCAGCCCTCACCCTCAGTTAGAGCCTCACCCCCTCCCACACCCCAATCCCCTGCTCCCGCCCAGTGAAAGTGAGTGAGTGTGGAGAAGAGCTAGCCACTGAGGGAGGAGGAATGTAGTGAGTGGGGGGTCGGGGCCTCAGGGAAGGGGCGGGGCTAGGGTGTTCGGTTTTGTACGCTTAGAAAGTTGGCAACCCTAATAACAGCGCTTAACATATTTAAGACTTATCAGATTCCCACTCAGTCTTCTTTTCACAAGACTACACATGACTTAACCTTTAATTATAAATGCCCCACTGTTAACTTGAGTTGCTCCATCTGTTGTATTCACCTGTTACTGCTCACCATATCCTTAGGCCCCTGTCACTGCCTCTTGGTGTGGTTTCCTGGGGGCCTCAGCTTCTTCTGAGCCAGCTTAGTTTTCTCTGAGTCAGGTCAGTTCCTGGACCCTAACCTTCAATTAAGCCTGTCAACCCTTCACTTTTTGGGTTTGCAGTCTCTTGCAGTCTCCTGGCTGTTTTCTTGGAGGCAGCCTGGTGCAGGGCTGTCACCACCTTGCTATCCCAAGTCTTTCTGCCTCCCATTCCTTCTCTGCACTCTCCCCTTTATAGCAGGCCTTGTTTCCTCTATTGGTTGCAGTTGTGTGTGCCTGCCTCCATGACTGGCAGCTGCGTGGGTTTGTGATCTAGCTGCTTGCTTGTAAACAGGAGAGACTCTCCTCCCCCCATCCACATTTAGTAAGGGGGTTGTAGATCACATTACAGCCCCATACATGCAAAGACTCATCCAACTGCTTGTATTTCCACAATGAGAGAAGCTGAAGTGTGTACGGTGGTGCCGCACATTGCATTTTTTAAAAAGAAAAATTAAAAGCATCTTATTTTTGCTCCAAAAGGCACATCCTTGATAAATAATCCATATATCTTTTTTCTTCTAAATTTTTTATTTTTATTCTTGTATAATAATTTTACCTGGATAGCATTGGAATTCATTTTACGGAGGTACCTATTTTTCCTCATCCTCCTTATAAATACACATGCTCTTCATTATAAACACACATACATATTACATGCGCACATGGAACACATGATAGTATGATGTAGTATACAAGTTGTATCTTCAATCGTTTGAGGTGGCCACATTACTCAAAATCACTAGTCACTTTTGAAAATCTTGACCTTGGACTCAAAAGCATCCCCTCTCAAGTATGATCCACTCCAAAATTCCCAGGTGATCTTACCTAGAGATGCTGTCTATACCCACAACACTTGTAAATAACATACTAAAAATGATATCGACAAGATCCAGTGACAAGCCTCTTCTATTGGCATACAGAAGCAAATGTCAAAACAACAGATTTGAGAAAATCTCCATGGAGCATTGTTAGCAATGATATTTCTCCAGGTCTCCATCTTGAAGTTCCTGTACGTCATAAAATCATTTAGCCATTTTAGATCCCACCCAGATACGCTTATCCTGATCTCTGCGGGATAGCAAGTAGAAGAGTACAGACACTGGAATCAGGAAATTTCCTGGATAGTTAGGAGGTAGCTAACAGTGTGATGCTCTCCCAACATTTCCTGGGATAAGGAGTCAGAGGAGGATGAGTTTATTGGGTTCTTGCTGGCGCCTGGTTGAATTCTATATGGTGTCCTGATGCAATGACTGATAGGATTTAGAAGTTTGTGCTGAGATCTCCCTAGTTCTCATGAAAGAGGTGAAGTCTACTCCCCAGGCTATCAGTAGATCAGCCTCATTGCTAGCATAGCATCAGATTATTTGTTACCCTGGGCATAGTGTGCTGGCTTGGTCCTGCTCGTGTTGGATTTGGCTGGGAGTGACCTCACATATTTGACTTTGCTGGCAATCAGAGGAAAAAAAAAACTATCTTGCTCTCCCAGCAAAGATTATTTTTGTTCAGGCTTTCTTGCTCAGCTTTATCGAGTTTATTCCTTCTTGAAAAGCATGGTTACTATCCCAGTTATGCCTGGGTGTCAAACGCCCATGAGCACTGTCATAGGCTCCCTCTTTCTATCACACTGTTGGTCAGCAGGGTGAATGCAGAGCCATGTCTTGTATGAAGTTTGTTGCCAGGTGCAATTCTCTTGTTTCCTGAAACTGCAGGATCCTTTTACAAAGGGACTTTTCCAGCTCTGTTAACTGGTGCCCATGGGTTTGAAATAGTAGGTTGCAGCTGTACTGACTGAGATGGATTTGGAAGTTAGCTTCTGAGAACCCTAAACCTTTTTACCTTTAGATTAATTTCCTTTCAAATGAGTCTTTTAGAGCCAGAGTGTCCTCCAGCAGGATGTAGTTTCTTCATACTTCTATGGTTACTAAGTCCAACCTAAGGACAGCTTCCCAGACTTAGAAGGGAAGTCAAAGCTTCTAAATTGCCTTGGAAATGGAAAGTTTTCCACCAGGATAAGAAGAGGTTTCTTTGATGACATCTGGAAGGTCAGGCTGCACTGGAAAATAATAATTCTTCTTGTGCATGGGCAAGGCTTTTTTCCCTGTCTGGGAACTCCTCAGAGTCCTTTGATCTAGAGCGCTGGACACTTCAAGGTCTTTGGGCAATCGCTGAGAGCCTAGCTGTTCCTCTGAAAAATACTCACTGCTGGAGGAGCAGGAAGGTGGCTTTCTCCTCAACACCCAGGCTGTTTTAGATCTTCTGAGTGGGTAGGGTATGTCAGGATAAGATGGATCAGCCTCCAACCTAGAAGCTAT